TAGTAGTAGTAGTAATAGTAGTAGTAGTAGTAGTAGTAGTAGTAGTAGTAGTCATAGTAGTCGTAGTAGTCGTAGTAGTAGTAGTAGTAGTAGTAGTAGTAGCAGTAGTAGTAGCAGCAGTAATCCTGATACTGATTGCTTTACACTTCGGGTCGGGTGTTTTTTTTTGCGGGCTCAGAGGTCTCCCAGGCTGGGCCACGTGAGGTCGGCGCCGAGCCGAGAGCTCAGCGCGGGATTTGGCGGCGAGTGCCGCCGCGAGTTTTTGGGGTGTGCTCGTCTCCCCCCGGAGGTGGTCCACCTGATAGAAGTTTAGGGTTTAGCGTTATGAGGGTTTGCTTGGGGATTTCGGGCTTAAGGAAACACGGCTGACATGAACCAAACCTTTTGGGGCTGAAGTGTCTCAGCTCCATGTCTGTGAATGGAATTCTGCCTGAAGTCTGCGACTAGTTTCTCTTCCAAATCGGTCCAAACGTTCGTTTGAGAGATTCGGCTGACTCTTTTGGGCTTGTGGAAGCGGCTCGAAGTTAGGAGTTTAGGGGGCGTTCCCGTAGCTTTCCGGCGTGTGAGCCCCTAGACTCCGGGTGTGGTCTTCTTGGCGCGTGTCTACGAGCTTCCGCGACCCCAAAGCCCCTAGACTCTTACACCCCAAGGCTCTAATAAACAGCCTCAAACCGCTAAAAGGTAAGATGGGTCTTCCGGTCCACCTGAACTGCGGGCTAGCGATGGGCCCCTTGAGCATGCAGAAACACTCAAGCCGAAACCTGAACCGTTGCATAGACACTCTCAGCTTGAACGACTAAACCTACTCCAATGGCCCCTCAACCCCATTCCCAATTCAATTTCCGATCCCCGACCATGTGGACCCCATAACGGAAAGTCTAGAAACACTGCAGATGCAAGGTTTGCGCATAACCGCTCACCGACGTCCCAAAGCCCAGGTTTTCTCACTTCAGAAACCCTGAACTCTAAACCCTAAACCCTAAAGCCAGAACTTAGGGACGCTTCTGGGAGCCCTCATGCGTTTTGTAACCTCAGTGCAGAGTGCAGAACACACACGTCCAATTACTGGGCTTGTACGTGGATATAGCTAGTTTCCCTACATACATACCGCCAACCCTAAACCCAACATAGGTCAGGATCCCTTTTGGGGTACCCTAAATAATAGGTGTCGTATTATAATAAGGACCCCAAAGGGGACCATAATTTTGACAACCACCCAGTTTAGTCTAAACTAAGTTCCCTGATCCTATCACATCTTACCTCCCAGGGATCCCACCTGGTTGATCTGCCACTTTCACTTCTGGCAGCTTTCCTCAAAACCTGCATTGGGGGCTGGTGCATTCCCGAAAACTTTCTTGCGACGTTCCTGGCTTAGGGCTTCGGGCTTGGGGTTCAGGGTGTCTCAGAACACCGAATATCTACCCCTCCAGCCTAAGAGACTGCAGAAGTGGTGCAGGAGTTTTCATACCAAATACAGCTAAACCCTAAACCCTAAACCCAAATAGAGCTGAAACCCTAAACCCCAGATAGAGCCTCGGGTCTAAGAGTCTAAGGTGGTCTGGAGTTCGGAGGGCCCGGGTATTCAGAAACCAACGGTAGTCTGATTCTGCGAGGCTACTGGTACCCCCCCCAAGGACCCCATGAACGGGGTACCTTTCAACCTCACACCACTCAACCCGAAACCCTTGAAAACGGGCATAAAGGTAGGGAAGAGAGGAGGAGCTAGTATTGCATACAGGCTCCGATTTCGCAGAACGAGCACCGACCAGATAAAGAAGCTGTGACCAATATGGGGCCTGAATTGCCTGAATGATTAGAACAGGGTTGTGGGGAAGCTGGTGCCGGTATGGGATGGTATAATCAAGCTATATGGCAGAATTCCCGATGACGAAGAGCTGCAAAGAGCCCGTCGAACCTGAAACCGACATATACAACAGCGACATCGCTGCAAGTCCCCACTGAAGCATCCCAACAGTCACCAGGGCCCATGACCGGATAGCTTCGAAATTCAGGAATACCTTAACCTACCAAAACCTACTTTTTTGTAGGGTCCCTATAAATTCCATATTAGGGCTTATAAAAAGAACCTACAGAAAACTAGGTTTTGGTAGGTGAAGGTAGATCTTCTAGGTTCCCCAGTAGCCCTTAAATAATAAGGCTACCCTTTTTCCTACGATTTTTGGTTTTATTAAGGGAAACCAAAAAAGGGCAACGGGGTACTACTGGGGAACCTAGTCTAAAAGTCTGCAGGATCCGTAGCCTTGCTATACGTGCACACTCCCCATGAGTCAGGGGCATTCGAGTCTCGGGGCTTAGTCTCGCGCCTGTTTTCTGCTTTCGTGCACCTGTTTCCTTCGGATCCTCCTTGCTCATAGGTCCTGGCGCCGACGTCTGTTAAGACCCCCCAAAAGGGCGTAGGGTTTAGTGATCTGGGTGCCGCATCCTCAATGTGAAGCTCAAAATCTCGAGCTTCCAACCCTCCAGCCGGTTCTGTCTAGGGGCCTTCATATTTGGAACGGTGTTTACACATGGCATACTTGAACCATCCGCATGGGGACTAGCAAGGCGTTGCTAGTCCCCATATTCTTGAATAATACTAGTGTTTTTGTATGAGCATGTTCTTCTTATTGTCATTATCGAGACTTGTATATGAGCCCCTGCGAGTCCGCTGATCTTTTCGAGTTGCGCCCTAAACTGCCGCCCCAAGCTTTCTCCAGCCGTAAACTACGGTTTCGACTTTTTCGAGCTAATGCAGGGGCCTTAATAATTAGAATAGGGTCATTGGTGTATATTGTACTATAACTCTAATAAGGAACCCCCAAAATAATAGGTAATNNATTATTAAGGCCCCTATATTAGGTGCAGGTTTTAGCGCCGGAAAAACTTGCTAGTTGACCTGATGCCCTCTGCCCTGGCCACAGGCATAAAACTGCCTAGACACTCAACCGGAAGTAAGGGTCCCTAAACCCTGATTCACAGGTCCTTACAAGTTGGATGCTGCTGCTGCTGCTGCTGC